GGCATTTATGCGGCTGGCAGGTGGCATCTGGGTGAGAGAGGAGGAGGACATCAGGTCGAGCCCCAGCGGAGCAAAGCCTGCCAGCAGTGAGGGTTGTGAGCCGGGGTGTATTTGAGGAAGCTCCCCACCAAGTGGAGGCGCTGTGCTCCCGCCCCAGTCAGTAGAACTTAGCTACGTGCTTGGACCCACCTCAGATGGGCAGCGAAGGGGCCAGAAACCCTGTGTTCTCTCAGAGAAAGGGTGGAAGATCGACAGGAAACCTTCCCATGCCCGGGAACCACGCACATCAATGCCGCCTGAAGTGCAGTCCGTGCCCCGTACCTGCCCAGATGCATTTGTTACCTGGTTCATCATTGGATAAAAAGAGAAGTGAGAGCGTTGAGACGTTTTTGTACCCATTCGCTAGACGTTGTGTCTGAATCCAAAGATCTAGGCTGGCACGTGGTCTAATTTTCCTAGTAATTGTAGTTTTCTAGAAAAAAAATTTCGAGTTTTGATCGTGTTTTGCAAATACGGTCCATGACGAAGCGCTGCAGTGTGAGAAGCGGGCCTTCACGGTTTGAGAGGCTCACGTACGTTATGTCAACCCCGTCCCACTGACCTGTCCCTCGGGGATCCGATCAGCCTGGATGTTGGGTCGCTCCTTTAAGTTTGGAGGAAAGGAGCCCCTGTGCTCCTGTATCCAACACTCCTAGGCCGGGAAGCCGCTCCCGTAGTCCTGTACTCAGGGCCCAGCTCTCCCCGGGCCCCCTCGGAAAGGGAGGTGACAGGACCCTGTCTGTCCGGAGAGGCTGGCTGGGCCATGGGCATCTCGGAGCAGGGAGGGGCTCCTGGGCAAAACCCATGTACCGGGACATGCAGGGGGGTGAAAAGGCCAAACAGTCTGGGTGCTCGGGAGGTCGTGATTCTTGGGTGTAGCCTGAAATTCACAAAGGGGTAGAGGACCGTCACCATCCGCTGAGGGCAGCAAACAGCTGGGGAGCAGCTGCCTCGCATGGAAAAACTACAAAGGGAAATTCTGAGAACAATTGGCTTGAGTCGTGAGGAGGCCACCATATACTAGAAGTAGATGCAAAGTCTCTTTGGGGCCAGCCCAGGATTGGGCAATGTGGAGTAATTTGGGCTTGGTGACACTTTGGAAAGCCTAAGGCATGTGGGGCCGGGGTGCCCAGAGGTGCTTAAAAGCAGGGGTAAGCAGCCTTTTTGGCCTAAGGGTTGATTGAGGAAAAGTGTTGGTGGGGCTTTTTTGTTTGTTTAATTCAGAATTAAAATCACTTCCTTTTTGTCCCACGGTGAAGGCGGTGGGGGAGGGGCACAGTGTGTCACTTACCTGTTTGATTATCTCCTTTACTGGAAGGAAGGAATCCTTTGGAAAATGAGATGTGGCCTTTCAGCCGCTGACATGTCAATTCTCGGGCCACCTTGAAAGTTAGCAACAAGAAAGCCGCTTTCTAATTTCTCTTTTTGGAATTGGGCTTCCAGCTATGCTGTGAGCCAGGGAGCCGGGGCCTGTGAGCCAGGAACCTGGCAACTCCATTGCCTCCTTGCCTTAA